CCAACAAAATTATTTTTGCTACTTAATGCTGTGTCTCAAGGAGATATCAACCCTGTCCACAAGGACTTCTATTTAGGGAGGCAAGATTCAGTCACACTAGACACTAGGAAGAATTTGCCTGCTTAGCAAAATACTGTGTATGTCCAAGGCCCAGTGACGGCAGACAGAGCAAACCACCATCATGGGCAGGCATAGATTGTCTAGACCTACAGGGCCAGTGACACGCTGATAGGAAGAAACTGGACCACATCTGGTAAGGAGGATGAAAATGTACAATAACTTGAGAGTAGTAGAAAGTAGTAGAAAGTCAGGAGATCTAACTTTACAGAGATTATAGTCTGCAGACCATAGGTACCACCATTACCAGGGAAAATTCTAGAATTTATTTTTAAAGAGACAGTTGATGAATATCTAGAAAAGGTGTCAATAATTTCACAGCACAGGCATGGTTCTTTGTTTAATGAGAACATTGTTCATTGAGAACAATTCATGCCAGACTAGCCCAATTTCCTTTATTCGGACAGACTTACTAAATCAGTAGATGACAGCAATGACATAAATGTAGTTTACCTAGATATTAGAGTAACTTGGTTTTTTTTGGCTAGGCAATCAAGGTTAAGTGACCTGCCCAAGATCACACAGCTAGTAAGTGTCAAGTGTCTGAGGCCAGATTTGAACTCAAGTCCTCCTGATTCTAAGGCTGGAGCACTATCCACTGTGACACCTAACTGCCCCTAGAGTAACTTTTGATAAAGTGCCTATACTTCTTTTGTGAAGAAGTTGGGGATCTAAAAATTAGACCAGAGGTCAGCAAACTATAGCCCATGGGACAAATATGATTCTGATATTGAGTAAATATTGATATAGTAAATATTGAGATAAAATGTTTTCATGTTTTAAATATATATATACATATATATGTGTGTGTGTATATATACATATATATATACATATATACACACATATATATATATATATATACATGTAAACATATTTATTGTATTAGAAAATGTAAAAATCATACCTAGCTTGCTGACTCTGCAAAAACAAGCAGCAGGACAGATCTGTGTAGGTTTTTTCAACCCTGGATTAGACAATACTGCAAGAGGATAGATTCAGGATGAATGGCATAGATAGTTATCAGTAGAATATTACCATACTGAAAGAAATGACAAAGGTGATGGTTTCAGAGGAACCTGCAAAGACATGTATGAACTGGTGCAGACTAAAGTTGAATAGATACAAGAAGAATAATTAATAAAATGATAACAACAGTGTTAAAATTACAGCTCTGAAAGAGTTAAGAACTCTGATCAATGTAATGATCAGCCATGATTTCAGTGTATTGAATAGGAAGAATGCTACTTAGCTGCTGACAGAGGTGGTAGACTCAACATGAACAATGAAACCTATCTCCTTGGATGTGGAGTTAGTTTGACTTGACAATACACATTGTTCTACAAGGTTTTGCTTTTCTCTTTCTTTTCATGGTGAGAAGGGACATGCATGGGAGAAAAATAAATAGTTATTAATTGAAAATAGATTGTAGTTTTCAAAGTAGCTATTAATAGTTCAGTGTTGAAATAGCAGGTAGTCTCCAGTGGAGTGCCCCAGAGATCTGTGTTTGGTCCTGTGCTGTTCAACATCTTTATTCATAACTTAGATAAAAACATAGATGACAGGTTCATCAAGTTTTCAGAAGACATCAAGCTGGAAAAGATAACTAACACAGTGTTAAGATTGAAATGAATGTTGATAGTCTAGAAAGTACTGGCCTTTTCAAGTCCCCTACTTTATGTGTGTGTGTGTGTATGTGTGTGTGTGTGTATGTGTATATATATATATATGCATATATATACATATATATGTGTGTGTGTGTATGTATATATATACACATACATATGTGTGTGTGCATGCATGTATCTATATATGCACCCACTATATATATATATATATATATACATACATACATACACACACATTTATGTGTTTATGTGTATATATTTTTCTGATATTTAACATACATACTTCCCTCAGTACTCATTCATATATATGTGCATATATGTGTATATGTATGCACGTATATATGTATATGTTTGTATTTTATATATGTACTGGGGATTTGGCATATGCTTAAAATATTGAAATTTGCCTAAAATGGAATCATCCATGCATTCACTTGAGAGATACTGAAAGGAGGTAGGAGAACTGGCACATGCATGTTCCTCGTTGGCAAACCATGTGATGGGGGCAGGTTTTTCTGTTGACTGCACAGTAAGAACTGGATGCACCCCTAAAATTATAACTGACTAAGCACATGTAATGGGGAAATGAGTCTTCAATCCCCATGGCAGACATCATGTGCTAAGGGGAAAGAGAATGAAGACCACCTCCTGATGTGTCTAGGGTTTGGATCTATTTTGTTTGTCATTTTCAATTCTAGGTGGAAGGAATGGAGTATCTAGTCTGGGACCCTGAGCCATAGGAATCCAGTAGCCCAGGAGTCTAGGCTAGGTGCTACAACCAGCCCTGCTGCCTAACCCTGAGGAGAAAAGGTCTTGGACAATAGCCCAGGAGAGCTTCAAACTTGTTCTTGGTGTGGCCCAGAAACTAGGTTATTCCAGGAGCCTAATTCTACTCCATTCCCCTGAGACCTAGGTATTATAGGGGAGATTATATACTTTTGAGGTTTTGGGGAAAATGTTCATGTTTGGGGTGTGTATGTGTGTATAGATATTATATATATAATTATATGTTACTATATTATATATAATATCTATACATACATATATAGTATTATTTGTTAAAAGCTAATCTGATGTCAAGTGCTTAAATGGAATTGGTGTACTAGTCACCGACCCCTAAAATGGAGGAAACACAATCAGCAAAGTCTACAGCCAATGGCAGAAAGGATAAAATCTTCCCAACCAATTGAAAGTATTGGAGAACCCTACAATATGGGAGAGAGGTGCAAAATGGAATAGACTTGGCCCTCAGACAGTGGTGCCAGAGTTCTACACATACATGTGTATGTAATATATACATATGCATGTGTGTGTGTGTGTGTGTGTGTGTGTGTGTGTGTGTGTGTGTGTGTGTGTGTGTGTAAAACACCTTATTACAATAATTGGCTTCTTTTAAGCCTGGGAGCAATATAATGCCCTCTAAGGTCTACTTGGTTCCTCCTTTTTGCCTTTAAGGAGTTTATTTTAGATGAAAAACTCTGAGTTCAGTCAAAATCACTCTGAGCCCCTAATCAGGAAAATTCTCAACACTAATATAGAGTTTGGGCATTCTGCCTAACCTTACACTTATATCTATCCCTAGTTAACCCCTGGTCTCTTTGTGGCTGAGGCAAAATTCATTTTACTGGAAACATTTGGGTAATGAAGCAGCAGATTATATTATAGTGCCTGTGGATAGACAGGTACTGAGATGGGAAGTGGGGAAAGAGCTGAGTTTTTCTTGAAACTTTCCTTAGCCTGGGTCCTTCTCCCAGAGATGCCTTGAAAGAAAAATGAGTCTCCTTGTTGTCTCTCTTGTCTGTGATGGTACTGCCTTTTCTCCTCAAATATATTCTAAAAACACCATACTTATTCCAACCTCTTGAATCCAAATACTCAAAGTCTCTGAACACTGTTTCCCACCTACCTAGCCCCACCCCTGTGACTCAGTCTCTCACACAATGGCTTTGATTAATTCAAGGAGTTGTATAGCTTCTGTTCACATTCAGTTCCATTCATCTAGTCAATAAGTGTTCTCATCTGCTCAAGATTACAAAGCTAAATAGGGTGACTCTACTCCTATGTATAGTTTTCCTACTAAGGAACCCTGTTCTCCTGGGAAACACACAGATGGTGAGGAAGTTCCAAGTTTTCCTACATTTAAGAGCATTCCAATAGTGGAGCCCCAAAATGTCACTTACCAATTACCAGACATAAGTAATTAGAAACAAGCAGCCAGGTCAGATCACCAGCCATTAATCTTTATAAGCTACTTCCTTGATTAAGAGGAGTTAGAAATAGTGGTTCCAATGTGTGACTCCCAGTTAGTAAAAACATGGGTTTCTATAAAGAAGGCATAATGTCCAGAAATAGAATAGTCACTATTTAAGCATCCTTTGTCTTGATCCAATCGGTATATTGTGTTCTAGAATTTTGTGTTCAATTTAGGAAGGATAGTTACACTAAGAAAGGTACCCAGAGCAGGATAACCCCAATTGTGGTTAAATGAACCTGCCCCATACAAGGATCAGTTGAAGGAACTCAGAGTGCTTAGCCTGGCAAACAGAAAACTTAGGGAGAACATGAAAGCTGAATTCAATCTCTCAAAAAGCTGGAAGGAAGCAAGCAAGCAAGGAAGGAAGGAAAGAAGGAAGGTAGGAAAGAAGGAAGGAAGGAAGGGAGATTGAACATGTTACCAAGGAGGACTTTCCTAGTCTCTCCAGTCTTTCTCTCCAAGGCATAAATTCTTAATCTGGTGCAATGGATAAAAGATGAAAGGAGATAGATTTATCTTCAATATAAGGGAAAATGTCCTAATAACCATAGCTATGCAAAAGGGCTCAGTGAAGGGTCACTCATCAGGGATGTTATGAATGGGATTCCTATACAGGTTGGACCTGATAGTTTCTGAGGGCCCTTCCAATTCTGACATTCTGCAATCCTCTCATTTTATGGGTTTTCCTCACATGGAATTCCTTCACATTAAAAATTAAAAACTGTGTTGATTTTTAAATGTGTTTTTATCCTACAGCCAATTCCCAATATACTCCTTCCTCCTTGAGCCCTCGTTTTTAACAAAGAAACCAGTTAAGCAAAAACAACGGACGTGATCTAATCTAATAACATATGCAACATCCCACCCACATATTTCCCCACCTCTCTACCAAGAGGAAAGCAGTATATATGTCATCATCTGTTCTCTAGGACTGAGTTTGGTCATAACAATTAATAAGAGTTTCATTGCCTTTTAGTCTAGCTTTAATCTATATTATTGTAGTCATGGTGTAAATTACTCTTGCAGCTATGCTTTCCTTCCTCTTTATCAGTTCATATAAGTCATTGGTGTAAACATTACTCCCCTTCACATGTTCTACAGGCAAACCAAAGTGGCTTTCTTGCTGCTCCTCACACAAGACATTCCGTTTCTTATCCTTGAACCCTTGCGTGAGATGCCCCCATGCCCAGAATGACTCCTTCTTCTTCCCTGTTTCTTCAAATTCTTAGTTTCTTCCAAAGCTTAGTTCATGTGCTATATTCTACATTTGTCCTTTGCTGATACCTGACATCTTTTGTTCATTTCCCTTTAATTAAAAAAAAAAGAAAAACACTGTCATCAGTAATGCTGCTAAACCATCCAGATATGTAGGTGATTCCTTTCCATCTTGTTGCTATGCTCTTTAGAACCCAAAGTTTTGCCATCTGCAGTACAACACAAACAGACACATGTATACACCTACACATGTATGTATACACATATGCATATATATGGGTACAGTATAGATATATCTGTAGTATACAGATATATATACACACGTATATGTATACAGTATGTAAGTATATGGCATAGATATAACATGGATATATTTCATTGTATATATTCAAGGTATGTGTATGTATATCAATATCTAAATAGATAGATAGATGGTAGATAGATAGATACTGTTTTAAAAACCTGTTCCTGGGGAGGTCACATTTTAATGTGGGGGAGACAATGTATGTATGTAGTATTGGGGAACTATATATACACACATGTGTTAATGTATGTATGTACACAAATGTGCCTGTATAATACATATGTGTAAACATGTGCACATTATATAATATGTTTGTGCATACCTGCACATGTACATACATGACACATACATGCATACACACACAAATTGTCTCCCCGTTTTAAAATGTGGCCTCCATAGGAACAGGATCTGTCTCACTTTCTGTATTCTGAAAAGTTAAAGTTATATTTGGCACAAAGTAAACAAATAATAAGTACCCCACCTTCATTCACTCAGTTCATATTTATCTTACACATAATTACATGGATACATGTGATTTCTTCCAATAGACTTCATGCTTCTCAAGGGTAGACACTTTCATTTTTATTTTTGCATTCCCAGCTCTTAGCATGGTGCTATGACCATAGCAAATGTTTAATGAATACTTATTGATTAATTGATTGAAGTTTTCCCATTTTTCTCTTCATATCTTTGCTTTTCCTGACCACTTGTAATTTGGCTTCACACTGCTCAACATGTCATCACGTACCAAATAGTAATGTTCCTCATGTATGTGCAGTTCTCTTTACTAACGTCCAAATGATCAGGTGCTTTATTGTATGGTTGGAACAATCGAAGGCAATGTGTGTTATCTGAAAGCCAGGCTTGTGGCACAGCGATTCAGGTTAATGGTGGCAGGAAGCTCAAAACAGTTTTGGGGTTTGTCATTTAAGACAGAGCTGAGCCAATCATATAGTAATTCTCTAGTGCATACATGCCAAATTAAGTCATCTATCTATCTGGCAATGGGTTATTCAGATATAGAAATAAAATCATGAGATTAAGAGACCTGGCTTCTGGTCTTAGATCTGTAACTAATTTGTTGCATGGCCTTGGGTAATTCCTTTCCTTGGACCTCAGTTTCTCCATGAATAAATGAAGTCTGATCTCAAATGTCCATTCCCTTGTTGATGTTCTATCTCCCAAGGTCTCCTCCAGTTCCAAACTTCCATGCTTTGTGTTCTGAGGTCCCTTTCTACTCTGAGCTTCTATATTCTATGATCTAAGGTCTCTCCCTGTTGGGGAATTCTATAGTTCTGTGATTCTCTGACCTTTTCTGCTCCCACACAGTCTCGGTCCCCGCCATTCTGATGTTCAGATAGGAATGATGAGTCATTCTCACAGAATCATGCCCAATTAGGAGAATTCAGCTTCAGAGGTTCCCTGGAGCCTCCCTCCCTCAGCCACAGTGACAGCTCGAAGCCATAACCACAGCATGCTGCCATGGACTGGTGCCCAAGGTCAGCTCTGCAGTGGCTTTGTTGTGGTTTGAGCAGCAAACAGGCTGACAGAAGCTTGTCGGGATGCTGAGGGGGCCAATCAACTTCAAAAGCAGCTTACAGAGTATGTCAAATGCCAAATAATGGAGGCAGGATGGCTGATGGCTGTTTGTTCATCCTCTCTTCCTTTCTTCTCTGGTTGTGGAAGGGAATTTTGCCCACTGTGGGAGTGGAAACATTAATAGATCAAATGAGATAACAGCTGTGGAAATATTTTTCAAAGAATAAGGCACTGTAAAAATACTTTGTATTATAATTCTCACAATATTCTCCTTTATCTCCATTAACATTACTATTTTTATTTTAATCACCATAATCCAAATCAACAAACATTTACAAAGCCACTAATATGCAGTGTACAGAGAGTTGGGTCTAGATGGAGAAGAACATAACTCCTGACCTCGAGGAGCATATCACCTAATACAGGATGAGGCATGTAGATGAATAACTATGATGCTAAGCAGAATCATCATCATAACTTGCATTTTCAACACAACAATTCTTTGAGGTAGGTGACGCACAGACCCGCACGCTAATATCCTGCCCATTTTGCAGATCAGGAAACTGAAGTTAGAAGAATTTAAGTCTTTCACCTAGCCAGTAAGTACTGTAAGTCTGCATCACAATCACCACCACCATCATCATCACAATCACAATATGGAGTAATGCAAAGAATAGTGGCTTTGGAACTAGACAGGCTGGGTGCAAATCTTGCCTCTGAGCTTTTTGATGTGTGTGCCTTTGAGTAAATTACTTCCCCTGCTTAAAGTCTCTCATATGGAAAATGAGGATTGAAATAGGTGCTCTCTGAACTCCCTTCCAACCCTAGGTCTATGATCTTAGAATTCTCCTCTCCTTTCTTATCACACTAAATTGCTGACATTGGTGCCAATGCCTCAGAAAATGGAACAGCCTAAAAAAGTAGTTAACCAGAATAGTTAACCATAAGTGTTTTCACAAGTCACAAGTACAAATTAAGGACCTAGTCATTGGGCAGCCCAATCCCCCACTATTCAGGGGGTAAGCAAAGTAGAAAAGGTAGAAACAGCACCCTTTACTATTATGGGTGTCAGACTCTGGTTGAGGAAATAAAACTCGCACACATAGAACAACTAGAGAGCTATGCAGAGGATATATGGTAACGGAAAGGCACTAGACGTATATTTGGGACCACTATAAACCCATTCCTTCTGCTTTTCCTCCTCTACTTACTAGGCTTGTGACTTGGACAGGTAGTTCAGTATCTCTGAGCCTCAATTTACTCATATGTTAAAGGGTGGTGGTGGTGGAGGATGTGTTGGTGAAAGAGGTGGTCATGGCAGTGAATGTGGTAATGATGGTGGCAATGATAATAAAAACAAATGTTAGGAATCATTATACTTTCTTTCCTTTGAAGATTTCCCTTATCATTCTCCTCCAAGTCAACAATAACTTTTCCACTCAAACTGCACATAGCACTGTTTTATATTACCTCTCCAAAGTATTTATCACATAACCTATACTGTGAACTCCTTGAGAATAGCAACAGAGTTTTCTATGTGTTCTAAACCTTTCCCAGTGCCTAGTATCACACTTCGTATATCATTGGTGATCGATAGATGCTTGTGAGAGTAAGGAAGGAAGGAAGGAAGGAAGGAAGGAAGGAAGAAGGAAGGAAGGAAGGAAGGAAGGAAGGAAGGAAGGAAGGAAGGAAGGAAGGAAGGAAGGAAGGAGAGAAGGGTAGGGGAGATAACTGTGACAAAGATGATAATAATTACAATAATAATGTGAATAGTAATATGGATGATTATGATTATAGTAGTAATAATAAAAAGACCAGTTCTTATCCCCACCCCTTGCCCTTTTGGGAAAAGACTCCACTCTTTTGAAATGGAAGCTGCCAGATTTTTGTGGCAACTAATTTCCTGCAACAACAGCTACCCCTGGTGTTTCACCAAGCAATGCCCTCAACTACTCTACAGTCTCCTGAGGTGTTTCCTCATTTTTCTTCCTCATGGCCACTTGAAACAAATGCAGCCAATATATCCTGGGCTTACATGCCTCCAAGCACCATTTTTGGTCTTCTGACAGGGTTCAGCATCTATCTGAGGCTCTATATAGAATTCAACTCTCAGAACTAACTATGCTTCAGGGAGACAGGAGTTTCACCTAAGTCAAGCTAAGGCTTTCTTTCTGCAGTGAGGTATATGGTACCATCTCTGAACTTATTCAAGGTTTCTCATTGTTCTGCCATTGTACCCTCTATCAATGGCTTTTGGCAACAAGTTCCAAGTCCATTTTCCTCACAAGAATTCAAAAGAATAAGAATGTATCTAAGCTGGGAAGTGAATGAATGGGGTGCTAACAAGGTGATGGAGAATGAGAAACAGTGGGATGCCTATGACCTGCTGAGATAATGAGGGTTGTGCTAATAAGATTTCCTTTGAGGTAGTAGATCCTCAGGGCTTCTTAAATGATAAAATACTCTTTCCTGTCCAATGGAGGCTGGTATCTATCTCAGTAATAATATTAACCAGGCAGCTACTTCTATAAAATAATACCCATTATCTAATGGATGTTTTGTTTATTTGTTATTTTTTTACCTTCTGCCTAATGGAGGAGAATTCCTTCAAGTAAGTGAAGGGCTGCCATTAGGAATAGGTCCCTTCCAAGTCTAACATTCAATGTTCCATGTTCTAACACTTCTATTTCTGGGGTTCTTTATTCTATATTACAAAGTCCCATTAAGCCTAAATGTAACATGTCATTTGTTCTAAGGTTTTGTCCTGCTTTCAAAGTCTATTTTTCTCTATAAGCCTGTCCCTAGTGACTTCTAAGACTTTTATACTAAAAGAAACATGTCCTTCTTTAATTCTGGATAATTATACTTCACTTATATGGGGATAACAATTCTTTCATGGTTTACTTTAGAGAGTAATTATGAAGAAAGTGCTTTATAAACTGTATAGCATTATCAAATGATGCTATTGTTTACCTTGCAAGCCTAACAACCAAGGCATGGAGTTGTGTCTTCACCATTAACTGTTCAATATCTCCCATCATTTTAGATATTAATTACCCAGTGTTAGGGAAAAAAGGACTTATAGCTGCACTAGAGGTATGATTAAGCTGAACTTCGCTTTGCTTTGAGATAAAAGCTGTAGCAGGAGAGGGTATTTACTGTTACATGGTGGAAGTTTCAGAAAACCAATTAACAGATAAAAATTTCCATTGCTCCAATCTATCTGTACCTGATTTAATCAGAACTGTCATCCCCAGGAATATTAAACACTCTCAAGCTCACAGTAGAGAGCTAAGAAGAAAAGAGAGACACGGACCTAAATAGAAAAGGTCACAGCATGAGAGGGGAAAAAAGAAAATAAAAAGATACATTTTGGATGTGTGCTTGTAAGGATAATTCTTCAACAAACAAGAGGTAGTGGTTATCAAAAAGATAAAATAGACAATGTCAATTATATGTAATTTACAAGTTTTGAACAAACAAAATCAATGCAGCTAGAAAAGAAAGAGAAATTGTTAATCGTGAAAAAATATTTGCACCAGATATCTCATATGACTGATATTTGAGAGATAAAGGGATCTGCAATCAAATGATAATCATCAAGAGCCAGAGCTTAAACTAGAATTTTTGGAATTGGGACAAGTGGCAGGGTAATGACATAGTCATTTAGACAGCGGCCAGGAGGGACGAAGCATGTCTCAAGGTTATGATGTTTTTTTACCTCTTGGGGGGAAAGGGGGAGAGGATTGGCTATTATTGTACCAGATGTATGGGAAGACAGGATTGGACCTGGCAAGGAAGAAGCTGCTGAGAGAGGTTCCCCTGGTATACAATACCAGGAACAATCATAGGCTTTCTAGTCTCATCTTCAGGTGGAGGGGAAAGGGATCTGTAGCAAGCAGGTGAAAAGCTATGTGAAAGAAAGCTGAAGAGTGTTCTATAAGTACCCCCTAAATAGCCCATACTCTAGAGGGGGGAAGTATGCCCCAGAATTAGTCTGTTCCCAAGAGAGGAAACAGGTAAAGGAGAATCTAGAGCAGGAGAGCCATGCACCCTAAGGTGCTATTAGCACCTTATATTTTTCTTACCCTTGAGCAAAGCTCCAGTGTCCCCAACTCAGTTATGTTTCTTCTAAGAGTCATTTTGCATTGGATAAATGGTAAAATAATTTGAACAAAATAGAAAATATAAACTACAACACCTCATTAAAAATGTTCCAAATCCATGTTGGTTGCTTGTTATCCTTCATGCTCAATGAAGGTCCAAATGACATCACTATGTTGGGGTGAAGGTTCAGTGTGTCTGACTGTAGCTGATCAGACCAATATGAGCTCACAAGGTTTTACCACAGATTGGGAAGAAATAGTTCATATGAACATCTGGAGTAGAGATGTTTCTAAATTTGCACATCTTATGTTTCTTTTGAGTTATTCCACTTTTGCTTTGCTCATAGAGAATAGTGCCTTCTTTGATGCAGGCACACCATGCCCAATGGTACCAGTGTCTCCCATGCCTCACACTTGATTCCAAAGTTCTTCAGAGAGACCTTGAAAGTGTCTTTTTATCACTTCTTCTGACCTCCATTTGAGGTTGCCTTGTGTGAGTTTTCCACCAAATAGTCTTTTAGGCAAACATGCATTCAAACAGTATGGCCAGCCCATTGCAGTTGCACTCTCTGCAGTAGAGTTTGAATGCTTGGTAGTTCAACTCAGGAAAGGAACTCGGTGTCCAGCAACTTATTTTGCCAGGTGATTTTTAGAATCTTCCTAGGACAATTCAAATGGAAGAAATTCAGTTTTCTGGCATGGCAGGGGTAATGTCTTTTGACTAGCACATAAACTAGATGTAAATAAGGCAGAGTTCCATGAAGTGTTGACCTAACTCTCTCTTCCAGAATCATCAGAGTCAAGACAACTGGTGATGGCTTGGGATGCAGTGAATGACCTTGGTGTCTTGGATGTCTAACCAAGCTCTAAGTGCTCCACAGTGCCTGCTTCCATTGTCTTTGTGGCCCATTGGAACAAATGGTTCACATTAACTTATTCCTCTTGTAAAGTCTTTACATGCTTGGGATATACAACCCCCACACTCAGCAAAGGGCTTGAAGCCCCTTGGTTATCCTCAATCTAGTTTAGTTTGCCAAAAGTGTTTACCAGGGTATGGCTGCTGCTCATGTTATGACTTCTTGGAGCCACAGGTAAGTATTGGGTGGCAAGTGGACAGCAAAGGTGGGAAATAGCCCTGAAAAAGGACTCAGCAGCCCTCACACAAGGAGGTATTAGTCTTCCCAGAATCCCATACATCCCTCCAAATCCTTAATAATATTATTATTCTAAATCCTTAATAATAAGAGAAAAACAAATACTTCTTAGTTTTTACTATATACCCCCCCAAAACTGGCCAAATTGATAAAAATTAGAAATAAAGTATCTAAAGGGGGCTCTAGGAAGACAAAGCTCTAGGAAGACAAAAATTCCAGGCTTCTGAAAAAAAACAGTTTACATTTGTTGGTCGTGTGGTCATCTCTTGGAGCCTAATCTAAGAAATCTAGAAAACAGTTTTGAATTATGTGAGAAAATTACTGAGTTATGGATACCCTTTTATTGAGGGATCTCACTGCTGGACATATCAGCCAGAGGTCAAAAACAGAAAGGTCTCATATACTAAAAGATCCCATACATTTATAACTATAATTTGAGGTAAAGAAGAAGAACCGGTATACATAGTAGGTGCCCTTCTGATCAAATTGTGATATATGAATTAATGGAATGTTTATTGTGCTATAAGAAATAATAACTATGAAAAATTCAGAGAAACACTCCAGGGAAAGGCTTAAACTGATGCAAAGCAAAGATTACAGAACCAAGAGAAAGATATCCACAAATACATAATATAAATAAAAAGAACATTAAAAGTCAGCTTCTACTTAGATTATTTGGAATGACCAATTGTGGTTACAAATAACATATGATACAACATACTCCCCTCATCTCAGTCAAGACATAGGTAACTATAGGGTTGGATAGCGAAAGTGCTGTCAGACACGATTGCTTTGTTGGTTGGTTATCAACAAAGTCTTTTCCTTTCTTACAGGTTCAGTGACAGAGTGCTAGGCCTGGACTCAGCAAGACCTGACTTAAAACCCGGTCTCAAAAACTGACTAGGTATGTGACCCTAGGCAAAGTATTTCACCTCAGCCTACTTTAGTTTCCTCAACTACAAAATGCATAGCACCTACTTTCTAGGGTTATTACGAGGATAAAATAAGATTTGTAAAGTTCTTATCACATTACCTGGCACATAGTAAGTGCTGAATAAATGATTGTCTTAGAAAGATTCTGAAGATCACCTGGTATGATAAGGTTCCAGACACTGAGGTCTTTTCTCAAGCTAAACTGCCAAGCATCAAACTCTATGGGGAAAACACAACTACAATGGGCTGACCATATTGTTTGAATGCCAAATGTATGTTTGCCTAAAAGACTATTTTGTGGAGAACTCACACAAGGCAAACTCACATGAAGGTGAGAAGTGATAAAAGGACACTCAATGTCTCTCTGAAAAACTTTGGAATCAATTATGAGACATGGGAGATACCAGCATAGGACTGCCCAGCATGGTGTTCCCGCATCACAGAGGGTGCTGTTCTTTATGAAAAAAGAAGAATTTCAGTAACTCAAAAAAAACAACAAAACCATGAGATGTGCAAATTTAGAAAAATCTCCACTCCAAATATTCATATGGACTATTTGTGCCCCACTTGTGGTAGAACCTTCCACTGATATGATCATCCACAGTCAGACACACTGTACCTTGACCCCAACATAATGATGTAATTTTGGTCTTCTTTGAGAGGACAACCAACTAACAAGAAATGGTTCAGGGAGGGGGGTGGGGCAAAGCTTTATGCAGCAAATAATACAAGGGAAATGCCCTCTATACCAACTTTTCTTAATCTAGGGCTTTTGAATAGATTTCAGGGAATCTGGGAACTTGATGAGGAAAAATGCCTATTCATGTCAATATCCTTTGTTTCCACTGTAATCTTACACATTTAATTTTATGAATTTCAAAACATTACTTCAGAGGTCCTTGGCAGTAATGAGGCTACCAAGTGAGCTCTCTATCAAAAAACAAATTAAGAACTCCTGCACTAGAGCATTATCAGATTTGCTATTCAGTGTCTGATTAGGTTCTGCTCCAGGTGTTACTCCATAAAGATTTGTTTTTGGGTGCAGTCCATGACTCATATTAGGGCTTAGTCTGTAGCTGAGATCAGGGCTCAATCACTGATTCAAGTTAGGGCTTAGTCAGTAATCCAGTGGAAGAGTTTTGACTTAGAAGAGCTCCAGAGGCAGCAAGAGAGTAGCCAAGGATCTCTGGCTTCTGAGGACCCCACGGAAAGCACTTTTAAGGCCATATAATTTAAAAATCATTGGCCCTGAGCTAGGATATGCCATGTCTCTCCTAGGCTTCTTCAGATGTCACCAATACCTTTCAAATCCCCATTACTATTCACATTTGGAAAAAAAAAACAGCTTACATTTGTTGGTTGTGTAGTCATTTCTTGGAGCCTAATCTAAGCTTCTCTAGAGAGAAATCCCAAAGCAGAAATCCACAATTTCCCGTGAAATATGTTTCAGGAAGATAC